TCTTTGTTATTGATACTAGGTTTAAATAAATTAATGTAGTAAGCTTCTGTCACTTTACGTTTAATGGTGCTATATAAGTTAATTTCTAAAATATCGAAGGAAATATCTGGTTCTATGTTATCGTGAAACTCTGAATAATGAGCAGCCAACGCATTATCAGGATAGGTTAAAGGCCTGTTGACTGCTCTTCGATGCTCTGAAAATCTATCGTGTGCTGTTCTACTCGTTTCCCCTATATATAGCTCTTGACATAATTTACACGTAACTTTGTATATGACACATTTTGGTTTGCAGTCGTGATTTGTTGTGATGAGTGGACATATGATACAGTTTGGTATGGTGCAGTGTGGTTTGTCGTGTGGTCGTGATGAACATAAGATCTCTGAGAGTTTCTTACCTGGTGTGAATATGAATTTGACCGGTAAGTTGTGTGAGAGGGCAAATTGAGTGACTTCTTTGGAAAATGGCTCGTTGATCACGACCACACGACAAACCACACTGCACCATACCAAACTGTATCATATGTCCACTCATCACAACAAATCACGACTGCAAACCAAAATGTGTCATATACAAAGTTACGTGTAAATTATGTCAAGAGCTATATATAGGGGAAACGAGTAGAACAGCACACGATAGATTTTCAGAGCATCGAAGAGCAGTCAACAGGCCTTTAACCTATCCTGATAATGCGTTGGCTGCTCATTATTCAGAGTTTCACGATAACATAGAACCAGATATTTCCTTCGATATTTTAGAAATTAACTTATATAGCACCATTAAACGTAAAGTGACAGAAGCTTACTACATTAATTTATTTAAACCTAGTATCAATAACAAAGAAGAGTGCGAGAAGCTTAAGGGATTTCTTTTACAACATATTCAAAGACAAATTTAAACAAATAGCACACGACCCTGCTGTTCAGTAGATATTATGTACTTGGACAGAGTGTAAAACGTGTGTACATCACCATTTTCAATGTAATGTACAATACCATTTGATGTAACCTGTATTCAGTGTGTGTAATTTTAATTTAGCATTTTAACTAGTATAGAAGCATTTATTATATACTAACATTTATAACAATTTTAGCCTGAAGATGGCGTTGACGCCGAAAATTTGCCCTTACTCCTAACTTCCTTGTTTCACTTGTCCTTGTCTCTTCCAACCGGATAATATCCAGATATCAGTATTTCAATCATGAGACTAATAAACAGCGAACTACTCCGTTATTAAATAAAGTTGACATATGATACAATTGCAATAATTAAAGGAGGTGACATAATATTGTATCACGTGGTGACCCCCACTGTCGCTTCACTGTAGAGTTTCTACGCTACAGGGAGCCGCGCCGCGTACTCGTGCGCTGCGGGTCATACAACGTATGACAAACATGATATGCGCATTGTTAACACAAATAAAACCGCCGCCGCCCAAAATATCAAAGAAACAAGAAATTTTTAATGAAACAATAAATTTAATTTAAGCACATTTACAAAGATGTAAAACAATTCATAAAATATAATGCCCATTTGGTGTATGACTTTTTGTCCTAATATGAAATGGCCTACAACCAAACCACAAATCGATGTGACGGCGACACGTCAGATGCGCGCAGAGTTTTCAAGTTTAGCACGCCTAATGTAATAAAAACGATCTGGGATGGAATTTAAGTAAAACAAGTACATTGTAGTATAGGCGAAATTCTTGTTGGCTTTCTAGCCCAAAAATAATTGTGTTGCCAGCCTTTGACGCCTTAATGCCTTATTCCATAATACCATTTGAAAGCTTAGAGGATGCCCTACAAGATACAAGAAGAATCATTAGGGGTATTTAGGGGCCACACTCATAGACCACACTCATAGCTCTACGAGGGTACAGAGGGAAAAAAATTGACAGCAAATATGAGATACCACTATCAGAAGTCTTTTATAACCTCATCCCTGCCCCTATGATGGAGTAGATGTGTATATATTATATCTGATTGTTGATATTTCATATTATATAATATTGGTAGCAGTGGACAGTTTCCGTTACCTCTGTATTGTGCTCTGCCAATTGCAAATTTTATTTAGTTTTCTATTGCATTTATATTGAATCTTTATATCTAGGGTAATTGTTATATTATGTGTATATTGTTTGAAATTCTTCTATTGCAACACTTGAATTACTTTATTGTATATATACTGATTGACATTTTATTTTGATTTAGGGGCATTTTATTTAAAAAATTTTACCAATTCATTGGCATAAACTCTGTTTTTGGGGCTTATGCCCAAATATGGGTAATATATATGTGTTTGTTATAGCCTTCAGCTACGAGTAAAGCACCTCAAGACTGGTTTTGTGGCCTGTGTTAGGAATTTTGAATTTTTGGGCATTTTGGGGCTATTCAAAAATCCCCAATTTTCTCAGTTTTTGTGTATAATAGTAGGGTCTTGAAATTGGTTGTGTCTTGAAACCAGGTAGGGTCTTGAAACCAGTTTATCACTCACTCACAAAATTGCCGATCCAATATCTATTGAAGTGGCGAAGATTTTCTAGACAAATGACATATCGATATTATTGCTGCAGCAGATACAAATTCCAAAATTATTATTTTTCCAATACTACCGTTTGAACCATTACATTAACGAGAAAAATTCAATCCTCAACTTAACTTTTACTGTTTTTAACTGATATGATGACATAAACTTTTAACGTATGTTGTTACATAATTTTTCTTAGTGTGGTGACTTGGGGTCCATAAATATAACAATGAAACAAGAAATTTCAATGAAACAAGAAATTTAATTTTAGCACATTTTTACAGAATAAAAAGATGTAAAACAATTCATAAAATATAATGCCCATTTGGTGTATGACTTTTTGTCCTGACTGCTAGTTTGGTTTATGAAGGACAGGTAACTAACGGGGCAAGGAATGCGCGTGCCTGGAAGCTTTTGCACACACCGAAACGCTAGTTCAGTTAAGTTTTTAGAGACAAGGCTCAGATTAGGACTAGAAGAAAAATTGTTAGCAGACATTAGAGGTTCTGTAATACAAGCTGATAAACCAAAATGAACAACTGAGGTAGGTAGGTAGCCCTGGTGGGTGTGTAAACTTTACGGTCTGCTCTCTCCAAGATTAGCCTGCTTCTCCATTTTACTGTGAAGCCTAATTTCTAGTTTTTTCAATAAATTAGAATAGAATCTTGTCTTCTATTCAGCTCACTCTTCTGAAACCTCTTCCTCTACATTTTCAACCTCATCATCAACTTCATCATCTTCATCATCAACATCATCACCCATGGCTTCATCGTTGGTGGTGTGTGCAAGATTTATCCAATTATATTTCAGCTTCATAAGCCTTCTGACATCGACAAATGTGAGAAAGTCATACGCTTTAGAAAGATCAGAGACATAGATCAGGAACAATTTAAAGGTGATTTATCTGTTGCTCTATCTGAGTTGGTTTTTGAAGAAAAGAGCTTATCTGATGTTGTGACTCAATTTAACAATGGGTGTCAACATATACTAAATGTACATGCTCCAGAATATCCCAAAACCATCAAAGACATTCCCACTGCTCCCTGGTTTGATGGCGAATACAAATTTGCAAGAGCCGAAAGAAGAAAGGCTGAGAAAGCCTGGAAAAAGTCAAGTCTCGAAATTGATCATGATATCTTTGTTCATTTGCGAGAGCACTGTTCAGAGCTGACTCTCAAAAAGAAAAAACTGTTCTTCTCTAATACTTTCCAGAAATACAAACACTCACAAAAGAGCCTTTACAAATTTGTAGACACTTTCCTGGATAAAGAAAAGGACCTCACTTTACCATCTTCAGAAAATCTTCAGGAAACTGTAAATGCCTTTAACCAGTATTTTACTGAAAAAATTGAGAAAATCCGAACATCATTTCCCAACACTACTGTGACTAATAGTTCTCCAATCTTCAATGGCCAGGCATTATCTGAATTTAGAAAAGCTACTATTTTTGAAGTCAGAGAATTGATCAAAGAATCTGGCATCAAAACCTCATCGATTGATCCACTACCTAAAGAACTCTTGTCAGAGCACCTTGAGCTAATCCTCCCTACCCTTTGTGATATTATCAACGTTTCTCTTTCAACCGGAAGTATGGAGGGAATCAAGTTAGCACATCTCACTCCCCTGATCAAAGGAGATTCCCTAGACACTGAGAACTTAAAGAATTATAGACCCATCTCTAATCTTACATTCATCGGTAAACTCATTGAGCGCTTCGTATTAAAATGCCTCAATGAACATCTAGCCAAGAATAATCTCAACATTGACCACCAGTCTGGTTACAAAAAGCATCACAGCACAGAAACACTCCTCATTACCATAGTCAATGACCTCCTCATAGCCACTAATAAAAACACAGCAACAGTTGTAATTTGCTTTTAGATCTGAGTACTGCATTCGACACAGTTGACCATATCAAATTGATCAATATATTGAAGTGTGAGATTGGGATTGCGGGAACAGCCTTGAAATGGTTCACCAGTTTCATCCGTGGTCGTTGTCAAAAAGTCAAGATAGGTGACCTAGAATCTGAAGAAATTGTAATAAAGTTTGGTGTCCCACAGGGCTCTGTCCTTGGCCCTGTGTTGTTCAATATCTACATCCGCTCAATTTACTCTTCTGTAAAATCGAAGCAATTTCTGATCCATGGCTATGCTGATGATCACCAGATCTACAAGTCATTTTCATCTGCCACAGAATATCAAGTCCTCAGCGAAGACCTGCCCTCCTGTTTTAGAGAAATCGAGACCTGGATGACGAACCACTTCCTTCTTCTGAATCCAACTAAAACTGAAATTATAGTTTTTGGTTCAAAACGTTTATTGTCAGAATTAGAAATTGGTGGTGTCTTCCTTAAATCTTCTGTCTGTATAAGACTTGTTAACGTTACTAAAAACCTTGGCTTTACATTGGATTCCTCTCTGACTCTTAATCCTCAAATAAAGAAGCTTAAAGCTGCAAACTGCCACAAGATGCGGAATATTGCAAAGATGAAACCATTCCTCTCTGAAGATCAAATGCAAATCATCGTACAATCTCTTGTTATTAGTTCCCTTGACTACTGCAATGCACTTTACTATGGTACTAATCATTCCGTTTTGAAACAGCTACAATCTCTGCAAAACAGAGCATGTCGCTTAGTTAAAGGTCTAAAGAGGAGAGAAGAAGTTGAGCCCTACATAAAAGAACTTCATTGGCTCAAGGTACAAGAACGTATTGAATTTAAAATACTCCTGCTAACTTTCAAACTGCTCCATGGACTAGCACCTTCATACCTGTCAAACCTTGTCAAGTACATGTACAATCCCAGTGGTGGCAGAGATGTGTCTCTTCATTGCCCTATAAACAGTCCACCAAGAGCCTTCTCTTCATCTGCTCCAAGATTATGGAACAACCTTCCTCAAGATATCAGGAAATGTGTAAACATCAATGACTTTAAGGGAAAACTAAAAGCTCTGAATCTGTTTAGAAAGTCCTTTGATATGTACTGAGTATATAATACATTATCAGAAGATTTTAAAATCTTCATCCTATAGCAGGTCAATTTTACGCTTTAAATCAAATTATTCTAGGCTTCTAATTTTTTTAAAGGATTTTCGGGCAACATTCAAGATTTTATTCTTTTCCGTGTTTCACTGTGTCGGCCAATAAAATTGTAGTGTAGGTCAGAAAAGGAGGCTCTATCCCGGGACACCAACATTTTTTGGGTTGGCACCCAGGAGAAAGCTGCCTTATTCTTTGTATTTTGTCTCAAGTATTTTAGCATCTTCTTCCTCTCTGTTTATTTCACCGTCTCTAGACTTGTATGTTGCCCAGATAATTTGACATGACTGTATTGGATTTTCTGTAACGTCAGTTACTGTTCTGCAGTAAGCTTCTTTTTTTTTTCTTTTTTTTTTTAAATTTTGCATTGTATATTGAAGTTTTCAGATTGTTTGTATATTTGGAGTTCTATATATAATTCTTAAAGAATTTTTAATATTTTATGATTTTTCATCCTTATTATCTTGTATATCATTTTGTTAGTCTGATGAGTCTCATACATAGATTTCTTGTGGTCATCATCTATGTTTTGTTAGAAAACCTGCTAACCTTTTTTGGATATCTTCTTGTTAGGTGTATCTGCCTTATTTAGTCAGGATTTTACTTGCAGCTTTAAACTTCCGTTTTTACTCCTGTCCAAGGCGAGATGCACGATCTCTACTGTCATTTAGGTATCATTTACAGCTGAGCATAAGGGTTAAATTTAAATTATTTAACCTTTTGGTGCTGTATAAAAATAACATTAATTTATTATTATTATTATAAAGGGTCTCAATAAGAGGTCTCGACTGCCTAGGCGTCAAACCTTGGCAGTCGGTAGTTTTCCTCTGGCCCGGGATCAGCTGACCCTAGGGACCAGAGGGTAAAGGTGTAGAGACTTTTAATTCAATAAAGTGAGACAGTAACACTAGTGGATGATAGAAACATAAACTTCAAACGAGGAATACAAATCAAGTCAGACAAAGCCTCCTGGAGTTTCTGCCATCCTGTAAATGGTATATAAGATTAACATCAGTCCTCTTTTAGTTTTTCTTTCTGTTTCTTCACGGTATCCGGCTTTATTAGGCGATCTTCACGGATACCAGAACATGTAGCAGGAGAACTTATTCGTTAGGCGTTGGCAGCTGTTTAGAAATGCTTCTTCTGTAGATCTTTATAAATCTTCTTTCTTCTGTGTATAAATGGCCATATGTGAATGATGATTAAATGAGATGGGTGTGATATGAGGATAGATTATGCAATCCTCTCAACTAACTTAAAAGCCAGTGGTAATGAACCAAAACAAACAAATCAATACCAGCTCCACAAAGAGTTATGCAGGCTAAAAGGCTGCCTCATAAAGGAGGACTTCAGAGGGAGGTTAAACAGGTGTCTCAACTGACTAATATATATCCCCTTTTCATTTTTTTTTTTTTTTTTTTTTTTTTTTTTTTTCAGTTATCCTAAACACAGTTCAGGTTACTGACCGGGACTTCGGATTTTTATATTATCATTTTACAACAACCCAGGGGAACCAGGCTATTGGCCGGGACTTCGGTCTTTAAATTATTATTATTATTTTTTTTTTTTATTTTTTTATTTTTTTTTTTAAGTAAACATTTTTATAAACATAGCAAAACTAGTCAAATAACTTAGTTTGCACTTTAAAAATCCCATGAAACTCACACGCACTGATTTTAAAAACTAATCTGCAAAAGTAAAAAATAAAGATTCTGACTCAAAACAAAAATGACATTAAAATGTATGAAAAAGCTAAAAATATAAATGATAAATCCATAAATAAAAAATAAATTCGATGTTCACTCTTTAAAAATACTAGTCCCTCTCAAAACACATACGCAGACTTTGAGAACTAGGCCCTCTCTTAGTCAAAACATCAGCAGGCATCGTCCTTGAGGGCATAAAGTTAACAGTTATTTCACCCTTCTCAACCATTTCCCTTAGTGATGCCATGGTAACTATCAGTCTTTTTTCAATGGGGTCCTTTGTCTTCTGTACAAGCTCTAGAAGTCCTTTATTGTAAATAAAACAGTCTATGGTCACATTTAAAGAATCTCCCAGTATTTGTTGTAGTGTTTGCTGAATAAAAATGGTGTGATCAGCCGCTTTCAGGAGTGCAAGGCTTTCAGCGGCTAAAGTACTGTAACAGACTCTGTCCAACTTTACAGATTTCCAACAGACAGGGTTTTTGACTCTACCATCTTTATCCGAAATAAGTATCAGATACCCACACTGACTACCATTGTTACTAAGATTTCCAAACGATGCATCACTGTATGTAAGTAGTCTTACTCCATTCTTTATGTTAGGCAGTTCTCTGAAGGTCAGTGGGGCATCTTCATCAGTTTTAAGCTTTTTGACTATCTTGTTGTGAAGCATTATGTCTGAGACGTTGGGATCTTTCAGATTATTGCTCAACTGACAAGCATCAAACGAAATATCTGGTCTGGTTTGGACAGATAACCAGATAAGTTGTCCAACACCTGATCTGTACTGTACATACTCTTCGTGAGTCAGAGCATGTGTTTTCTGGCTTCTTCTGTTACTTGATAGTCCTATGGTCTTTAAAGCACTGATATAATCTGACTGTCCAACAGTGATTTCATATGAGATTGGATCTTGTTCCACCTCAAGTCCAAGATATGTGAATCGCGATGCTTCCTGTGACTTAATCTCAAATCCATGCAGCACATCTTTGTGAATATTAGACTCAAAACCTTTGGTCCCTGCATAGATGAAGTCATCTACATGTACAGTCATTATTCCTGCAAGATCTTCTTTGTCAACTCTTGAAAAGAACAGAGCATCATCATATAAACATTTCCTTAAACCAGCTTGTTCACTGTGGTCTTTTACATTTCTGTACCACATCTTTGCAGCATCTGACAGTCCATAAACACATTTGTTCAGCTTCCACAGTATTCCTGGTTTATAGCATTCCTTTGGAGGGGTAAGATAAACTAGTCGCTCAATTGGTTTACCTTGTAGAAATGCTGAGGTTATATCAAGAGAATGAATAGGCCACTTCATTGATGCTGCTACTGTGAATAGAAGTCTTAGAGATTCTTTTCGACAAGTAGGACTGACTCTTTCGGTACTATCAAGAGGAATTTCCTCAAAACCTCGAGCTACCAAACGGGCCTTTTTCTTATGACCATTGTCATTTGTGACCCACCTTGTCGAAATGGGGACAAACTGATCATCTACTTCGTGAGCCTCAACCTCTTCATACACATTGTTTTGCTTCCATTTTGCGATTTCGTCAGTCTTCTGTGACTTATAGGGGTCAGTGTTTAACACTTCGATACTGACCTTCTTCTTCTCATACTTTGACTTAGCTTTGCAGAACTTCTGCTCCTTTGTAGACATTGATTCCTCTAAATTAGTTTCGTTGCTTTGTGGTATATTATCTGTGCTTACAGTATTATTATCATCCTCTTCAGCAGGAGCAATATCGAAAGCGTTCAACAGAACATCATTTTTCAGCATTTGAGTTGCATTGTAAAATTCTTCAACAGTGGGATTAGGCTCATCTGGTGGATCGGTCCCACTTACTTCGGAAACATCTTTTGAGTACAGTTCATTTACATTGACAACATGAATCCGGTGGCATCGAACAATATACCCACCATGTCTTACAACTACAACTTTCTTGTCCACACCTATAACTGTTCCTGGTCCTCGCCATCGCTTATCATCATTTCTTTTGTAGTATACCATATCACCCGACTGTATCTCAGTGTACACTTCTCTAGTTTTTGATCTAATGGCTCGTCTGATCATCTCACTAGCTTCGCTTTCCATCATTCTTTTTCGAGCACTGTAGATGGCAGAGATGTTCTTGGCAACAGTTTCACTTGGACTCTCATCTTCAACAATCGTTGGACTAGCATAGGGATCATCAATAGAAGTGAGAGATGGATTTTTGCCAAAGATTAACTGATATGGCGAGAAACCATTTACATTTGCCAAAGTGTTCTTGGCATGACAGGCCCATGCTAAAGCAACTTCAACTGAGCATTTAGTATCTTCCATGATCTTTATCATACTGTTAGACAAAAGGGCATGGTGCCGTTCTACAAGGGCATTGCTCCAAGGTGCTTCAGCTCCAGTAGTGATGATATGAACGTTGAATTTCTCACAGAGGTCAACAAAACTTTTGTTAACATATTCCCCTCCATTGTCACTCATGAACTTCTTCGGTGGTCCAAAAGTGTTGATCCAGTGTGTAAAGACACTTTCCACAATGGTTTCCTTGTCTTTTGACCTGATAACTTTTGCAGCAGAGAATCTGGTTTTATGGTCAATCATGTGCTGGATGTAAATGTTTTTATTCTTGTCGTACACCTTAATATCCATGGCAACGGTATCATTGAAGTCTTTGGCTAAAGGCATACAGACTACTGGACGATTATTCGGTCGCTTGTATCTCTTGCACACATCACAGTTAGACGATACTGTGTCAATCTCTCGAGCAATTTCCTTGGTAAGCTGTCCTGCTGTTCTTAAGAGTGACTTTAACTTTTCAGGTGGGGGATGGGCGAATTGCTTATGTAGCTTAATCGCTATCTTTCTTTTGTCAGTACTTTCCATGGTCAGGTTTACAATTTCCTCTCCTGATTTACATAAGCAGACTTGTTGATGGATAGTATTCTTGCTCAGAGGGATGCTACAGTGTCCTGATTCATTGAAGATGATTTTCTGCTTTACACCAAAAGCCTTCACTGTGTCATCTCCAAAGTCCAATACCATTCTAGCATCTTTCATTGACTGTTTGCTAATCAGTAATGGAATCTGATCATCAACAACTTGTGCCACAATGTTCACCTGTTTGTCACATACAACGGCTGGGAATGTGCAGCATGTCCTTGACTTTGATGGTGCATTATCTCCAAATTTAAACGATACATGTTTCTCTTCATAGCACACCTTAATGAAATCTTCTGGA